GCAGTTTCTAACGTTGGTGATGGGAGAGATGTGCCACCCACCGATAAAGAGTGGCCAGCCACAGGGGTGCGTCTGCAACAGGTTAGCTTGACCTTTAGGTGTTCCTTTTATCGATAACGCCCTGTTTATATTTCAGACAATGAATTATAGCTATGAAAGGCGAGAGCAAGTCCAGGCAGGAGTACAGTTCAATTGATGGAAGTTAAACTGGAACCGAAGAGAAGCACAAGTTTGGCAATGACAGCAATCAATTATGAAATAACGTATTGTAATGAGTGTTAGGGTTGCTGAGCGATGTGTCTGAACTTGCACTCTCTTTAATGTTGTGCCAAAAAGGAACTTGATGACTACATATTTTTCAACACTTTGAACTTTCATTCCATTGAGAGCTGTTTGGCACACAGCGATATAAGACAATGTTTCTTCAGATTTATTACCGTAAAACAAAACCCAGATCGTCTCTGGAGTCAAAAAGAGATGGATTTTAATACAATGTGTATTTCTATTGGTACATCTATTGGGAGCTGTACTGTTTATGGCTCAAATTCAACTGCTGGAGGATCTTTAACTTCCTGACTGACTAGAGGCTGCACATAAACGACTGAGAGATCCACACAAGAGCTCCACAGGGATGTGTTCTTTCTCCTCTGCTCCTCTCCCAGTGCAACACTTCACCTCCAGCCAGGACTCGGTGGAGCTGAAAAACGTGTCTAATTCTCTATTCAATAGGAATATTTAAAAATTATAGGTTGACATGACACGACATATTTTAAATAGCTTCCTACACATTTTGACAATCTTGTGGTCTAGATAATAGATGATAGATCACCCCCGAAAAATAAGAATTAAAAAAAATCCCTATAAAAGGGAAAAACTCATGGATTAAAAAAATATGTGGAAGCAGGATGTGCAAGGGCCCTTTGCAGCTCCATAGGACTCATCTCAGATTCTAGAGGTGGACTCCAGTAGCAACAGCCCGGAGTTCAACGCCCAGAAGACAGTGGAAACATTAGTGGACTTCAGGAAAACTGCAGCCCCCGTCCCCCTCACTCTTACAGACAACTCCATCACCACTGGACTATTTCCAGGCACCACCATCACCTTTAACCTCAAGTGGGAGTTACCATCAGCTTAGTCATCCTGACGTTCCAGCCGAGGATAGCTCAACTTCAGCTCTGGTCCTGACCGAGCCAAGCATCAACATCAAGGGCAGTGTTCCCCAACCTTTTTCAGCAGTGGCACACCATTTTCATAGAAAGAAATCTCATGTTAAACCACCAGCTAAAACAAACAAAGATTAAACTCTGCAGCGTCAAGTGTATTATATAGAAAATCAAACAAATCAAATCAGTGCCAAAATGTTCACAGTATTTGGACCAATTAGATGATTTTCAAAGGCACATCATGCCACGGCACACAGGTTGAAAAACACAGATCTAAGGTGATGGGTCGCCGGGCGCTGCACTGTGGCTCTTGACGGATCGCCCAAGTGCCATTCCTGGTTGGGTTAAATCCAGAGGACAATGGCCTTATGGGGATCAATAAAGTTGACCTAGACCCTAACCTCCTCCCTCACAGTGTGGTTTGCTGGAGCCAAAGCCCGAAACACACACAGGCTACAGTGCATTGTGTAGAGTGTGTTACTCCTGGACTCCTGGAGCGAGGAGGTCGAATCACGGCTGCTGCCCTTTTCTTTATATCAACAATACATGATCTATTTACACATCTGGTTTCACTCACCGATGCTCTGCCCAAATTGTTTTATGTTTCTGTATATATTCAAAATCAATTACACGCATACCATTTATTTCCATATGTTGTATAAGAGTTACTGTTACTAGCAAAGGTACTACAATGGACTCATTTTTATACACAAATGTCCACTGTTTCACACTCTGCAGAACAGCTTTCACTGTGGATATCTACCCAGTAACAGGCATTCCCATGGGTGGCTATATGCATGCATGTCAACAATAAAAAAGGTTGCGCCATTTTGGGACTATGCATGTGATAATTTGAGACATGATGGTTGCTAAAGTTAGCCAGAGAGTGGAAGCTTGCTTCAGTTAGTTGGACGATGGAAGGAAGGGTGTGTCGGGAAAGAGAACAGGTCAGGCCTCGGAAAAGGATTGGAAGAGAGTTTGTGGCGTGCCTGCTTTTGAGTGCTGTTTTTCACTCTTTGCCCTATCAAAAAGCAGGAAGGAGACAGACAGAGACAGCAGCGATGGAGAAGAAAAAAGGAAGGGGGGTTGAGTAGAGGCTGGTGAAAGCAGCTGGAGATTCTTAAGATGCAATAAATCATTTACAGGGTACATAATTGAAATTTCAAAAACACATAGGCATCACATTCAAACGCATACTGTGGAAACCAAGACCTCATAGACAATATCCGTTTGATAAAATGTTTTTTTATTGATATTAAAAATGAAAGTACATGAATTGTGCATTTCGGACGTCTTTAGCGTGCAGAGGTTAAATTAATAAAATACACACAGGCTGAGTGAGCTACTGACACAGAAAGTTTGCCTTTTGTTTGGCAAGGTATCTCAAATCTTCATATTCAGCGAAAAGAGAAGTGGTTGTCATACACGCCATTCATAAGAACACTAGAGTAACCGTTTGATCTTTACAATAGTGGATGAATGCAGTCCTAGCAGGAAAATGTCCAATAAAATAGAAAATATAATAATAATATTAATATAATAATAAAAATAGTAATTGCACTGCCTGCAAAGTTGCACAACTGAAGCAGAATATAATTAAAGAGATGCTGGGTTCAGATCCGAGTGGTGGCTTTGTGACAGGTGGGCATGACATAAGTAATAATCTACATGGCCTTAGTGGTTTTTGTTGTCATAAAGAGCTGTATCATTGTGGCTCACATCCACACAGCAAGATCCCGGCTCAGCCAATCACAGAGCACACATGATCGTTGTTCCTGAGTGCTTCAGAAGAGGTTCAGCGAGATAGCCCTTCATCAAATGCATAATGGATGGAGCAATACAGGATATTATAACGAGAAGCAAATGGGCAATGAAACAGTCCCCTTCCCGCCATCTTTCACTATTACCAGGGAATTGTCTATCAATGGACATTTCTTATGGACAACAGCCCCAGAATCACACCTGAACGCTTCCTTATGTCAGAGGGCACAATGCACAAACAGTAAATGGTATAAAACAACACAATTGAATGTAGGACTGATCATTCTCCAGCCATAAATACTAAAGTGGCTTTAAAACATAGTGGGTAGAGTACAATCAATGAGCAGATATTTCTTCCATTGTAAAGTCACTTAAGGGTGAGCGCCCTGACTGGCTTCTGGAAGTCCATGCAGACCAACTTGTTCTAAGTATGTGCCTATTTTTGTGACATGACATGCCCTAAGCAGACCCGACAAAGCTGCTGTTCAAATATTCATTTAACGGAACTATGGCAAATGAAGAAGAAAAGGAAATTAAAAGACATTATTTTTGGTACAAAGCATCTACAAAAAAGCCTTACAACTCCAATTGGAACAGCGATCATATAAAATAAATCCGTCAGTTGAGCATCAGTGCTACGTATATTATTTGGACCAATTTTTTCAAATATACTTTATAACAAAATAAATAATGCCTTTATACAGTGCCCTTATTTGTATTTCAACAAACAAACAAAAAAGCTTGGCGGCTCATTACGCAAGGTACAGCTCAGACTAAAGGAAAATAACACAATGTCCCTGGAAACTAATCGTATATCTATATTTATATATATTTAATATATATATATAGATGTACATATATATTCAAGTATTTGTTTTCAGGCAAAAGCATGTGAATACTACTGATATACAATAAAATAAAATGTTAGTTGACATTATTGCTGTTTTTTCCCTTTGAATCAATATTTTGTGCCTTTCTTTAAAACTGTAAAAATAATAACCATATAATAACAAAACGAAAAATGCCTAACTGAAAAACAGGAATGTCACTGTACCAGAAACTGACTGGGTTTATCCTTTTTTCATCTGAAACATTGATATGAAAGAAAACAGAAAAAATAAAGACAAAATAAAATAAATTCATTATTATCCCACTCATTCTCCATCCATTGCCGTGTTATTATTTCCTTTTCCAAGCAAGTTCACGGAGCCATGGCAACCACAAAGTACTGTCCCAGGAGTACTGTGCCGGTCCGGGCTGTCCATGGAGTCTCGTATGTCCCCGCTCTGAGTCCCCTGTCCAGCAGCCTGTGTGGCCGGGGGAACAGAGGCGGGCTTAGTCCCCCTCCTCTCGCATTCAAGAAGCCCACTGCTCCTGGCCAGCGCCACTCTCCCCCTTGACATTGCCACTGCCGGGAGCTCCCCCATATCCTTTTGTTTTCCTCTAATTTGCTTAAAAGTCACACTTTCCTTAAAACGGAAAGTATTAATATTCATTCAACAAAAAAAATCGTGCTTCATCTTCTTCTTTGAGTCTGTTTCCCAAAGCTAGCACCATGACATTATTTAAGCTACACGTCCATTGTTCATAAAAAAATAGTGCCATTTTTTTCTTTACTTTGACGTAATCCGTGGCAATGTGCAATTTTGCAGACTCTTCTCTCTGCTTTTTGTTTGTGATCAAAAGGTGCTGGAGCAGGAATCTAATTTTATAAAATAATTCCTTACAGTGTGGAAGTCCCTTTATAGGTAGAGGTGCAAACTAATAAGAAGAACTATGAGGGGGTTTCTTTTTTTGCCTCAGGAATGTGGAATGGATTCTCTCATGCAATCTGCACTTCACTTTCAGTTGTCTTCCACAAGGCCAAAAAAACAGTCCGCTGCGTGTCCTCTCAACACGGGCGGATCCAAAAAAATAGTCCGCGGTGTGTCCTTTTAACGCAGCCAGACCATTGATCTCTTTCATCAGGTTTCTCCCTTCCCTTTTTGGCGTTCCTCAAGGGTCCACCTGAATTGCATTTAGTCAAACTGTGAACTTTTTGTCCATCACTTGTGGTTGTGCCTTTTGTGTGATTGACTAAAGAGAGGGGGAGCCAAAAGAGTTGAGACAGAAAGAATGTGGAGTCTGTGCATTGGGGTGGGGGGTCTCTCTGGGGGGGTCGCAGTAGAAACAGTATTGGATGAGAACAGGGGGAGGGATGGTGGGCTCGGACAGGGCAGGGGAGGTCAAAGAGGACTGCCACAGAAATGACGTCAGAGACAAAGCTATAATCCCTTAGTCTTTTTTCCTCCATCCAACTCTTGTCTGTGCAAAGGGCTAGCAGCGGACTCATTTGTGGCTGACATAGTGGTCCGTGGTGAGCGAGACAGGAGGCAGTTTGCTGGGCAGGCTGATCAGAGGCCTGTGGAAGACGATCTGCTCCTGGGCCTTGATCTTCTCCGCCTGCCTCCGAAACTTCCGGGCCCGCAGGATCCCGGGGACTCCTCTCCGGAGCCGCTGGGCCGCCTTCCTCTGCCACACCTCGTATTTGGAATACTTGGTGGTCACATGCTGCTTCCTTGGGACTTCCTATTGTGGCGTGCAGAAAGTAGAGGAGAGAGGAATGAGAGGGAGAGAGTTAATTTGCTGAAATAAGATACTGTGAATATATGTCACAAATGGGGCATGCCTTGTTTGGTTGTCATTGTTATGGCAGGCAAATGGAAATCTAAGACTACAAAGCAAAATAACACTGACATGGCCTTGTTTTGACTTTTCTGGGTGAGAGAGCCTGTCAACAGCTGCATACTTAAGCCTCTTTAATACACAATCTATGAGATGACCAATCACCTGGCTCATATGCATGTGAGTGGACAGCCTCGTCAACCAAAATAAACACATTTGAATGTTGCGCCCTAGCTGCTCTTGCTCCACTGATAGTAGCAACGCAAGATGGAATGCGCAAGTAGTCAGTGCTCCATGTGAATGGTTGTTTTGGTCCTGCCACTTGAAGAGTGTTTATCCCCCTCATTGAGCTCAGGCCTGCTCAATAGCCAGAGAACAGCTGGCCTGGGAGCAGCTTGTACCCATCTAGTCTCCTTCCCACTCCAATAAGGAACATGTCCTGACTTAGTCCCTGGCACACACGCTGTTTATGACTTTATTGCAAAACTATTTCCTTAAACATATTTGTTGTAGGAATCTCGAACAGATATGCAAATAAGGCAGAATATGTACTTGGCCTTCAAGCATGACACGCAAACAAGTTAAAGTGATATTTTCAGAGTGAATTGTTCCGTGACACTCAGAACACAGTGTTTTGTTGTGGACCAGCAGTTGGTCTCTCTAGGACAGAGAATATGACACTGCTTTGGCCTTTTTTCCACAATCATCAGCATTTATATAAGGAGCTATGTGCTTACTACTGGCCCTTTGGCGAGAGAAAAACTGGTGTTTGCGTGCATTCAGCATAAGGCCATAGGGGTGTAACACTAGACGAGGGGCAGTGTCGTCTTTTCCCATAGTGGCGCACTTGCTGATGGACGTACCTGTTTTAGTGATGGCATCATGGGGATGACTAGAGACGTGGCGGACACATCCCTCTCCGACTTGGCTGGTTTGGCACAGTACTGCTCCAGCAGGGCCAGATCACAGCTACGGAAACAGCACTCCTCTACGATCCCCCGGTTCTGCCCGCGCCGGTTATTAAACCTACTCGTGGGCCGACCTGTCGAGGAGAATGAAATGTCAGTCAACACAACTATGGACAAGGATCAAGGTTGTTTTCACAGGATTACTTTCTCAATCATAGTCAGAATAAAGAGGATAAACGGAAATCTATGGCCAACTGAAACAAATCTTTTTGTTTATATGTGCTAATCTGATTAGGACTATCTGCAAATGCTTTAATAAGTGAATGAAAGAGTAAACACCCAGCCTGGAGTCAGCAAGACAGAAAGACAGGGCATGTAAGTGAGTTCAAACATAAAATGGAAACTCTGGTGTGACCTTGTGCTTTGTCAACTCAGCACAGATAAAGAAGATGAGGAGAAGAGAAGAGCAGAGGGGAGGGGCACAGGAGAGGTGCAGAAGAAAGAGATCAGTGACAGCCAGGGAGGCCTACAGGGTGTGAGTCTGAAGAAGACCAGCTCGCCAAACAAAGACAGTAAGAGCCACGAGTGAAAAGGTGCAGAAGAATACAGAGAGGGGGTGGAGGAGTGTTAGTATGTTGCACAGAAGAACATTATCCACAATCAATAAAGAGCCTTGTTTGAAGTCCAGCGCCGCACACAAATTTCTAGAGAGGCCAGCCTAGGTTTGATTGCAGGAAGAGGAACAGAACGACATAGCAAAGCAGAGGAGGGGGTGTGGGGGGATACAGGCAGGCGATCTGTTGGGTCAAATTGGATAATGGTCGTTGTGATTGGAGGGAAGTTTAGTGATTTAGCAGGACACAAAGAAGCTGTCAGTCAGTAGTAATTACTTTGTTATAAGGATATATGGGAGTGGTAAAGTAGTGCATAACACTCAGCCTGGCACACTGCAAACCCAAGTTGATTAGTGTCAGAATTAGCAGCTGCCAAGTCCGCATAATAGAGTAAAAATAACATGCTGTTTTCTATTATAATAACAGCAGAACGGATGCATTAAAAATCCCCCCCTAGAATCATCAGTGTGGGGCCTTAGATCAGGAGTGCTAAGGCGGTATGCCTCTTGGGGTGCTATTACTTTACTGGTAAACAAGCAGCCCATTGTGTCTTGTGTGCCTTCACAACTCGCCGGCCTTTTCATATGCAAGAAGACCATACTATGGGCTGTGGACTAGAATGCGCACACTCAGCATAGAAAAGCAGGTCTGCAGTCCCAGTTGGCCAAAATCTCAAAACGCATAACACACAGTGTGAGCTATCCAAACAGATGTGAGGGAGTGTGGAGCTCTGGGGAAGAATAAATGGTGAGTCAGTCTTGATGCTACGTTTTGTAACTTACTGAAATAGAAGCCCCTATCTTCACAGACGAACTGCAGCGCATCCACCAGCTCTCCCCCACACAGCGTCTCGGCAGAGGCCATTTCCACTACGTACAGCGTCAGGGCCAACGCAAACAGCAGCGCGCGACTGGATGAAGACATCTTCTTGACCTGCAGACAAAACACGAATAGCATTGAGAAAAGGAATTCATTGGAAAAGGTGTCATTGTATTAAAGCCATACATGCACAGTATTCACAACTGGAGCAAATCCTCACAGAATCCCTTCTAACTCAAGGGCATCTTTTGTCGTGCAATAAAAAGGCCAAACATGCATTTCTTCCAAGTGTGTTTGTGGTACCAGAGAAGTGCTTATTCTAACGACACAAAGAGACAACCAGAGCATCTTTCTGGCGTTAACGCGCTTTCACAACTCCCTCCAGAGAAGTTGCAAGAGCAGCGGCTGCTCGATAGTTAACTATGTTGAAAGCCCAGACTCAGCATATATTTTCCCCTTGCTCACCCTGTTAGTGAGCTCACTGACCCTCACAACTACCGCCCTCTATCTGCCATCACAAACACCAGCTGTTTGCTCTGGAGCCAGCGCTCGGGGCAGAGCGGACAAGAAGCGGACAAGAAGCGCACCAATATCTCCAAAACTCAATGAGCTGCGACACTGAAGCCCAAACTTGTTGCACAAATCCTTCATGTCTAACACAGCGGTCTCTGCCAAAAGCAATGCCAAACTTTCTCCCTTGCACACAGAGGTGACTGTGCACAGGCATTGATTGCACTGCACACTTTCCGCACTTCTTGCACTCTTCTTATGCAACAGCGCAAATTGACATTTGCCGGATCCATAACGCACTGTGGCGTCAGGACAGACAAGTGACTTACCCTCAATCTATGGCTCTCCGCTCTTCTGCAGGTGTGGCAAAGTCCGTGCGTGTGCTGCGTTTCCATGTCAGTGCAGTAGTCACAAGCGGTGCTGATGCAGAGGTCTTGTGGGAGGACTGTGGGGCTGTTGGGTTGGAGAGGTTGGTGGCAGGTGAGTTAGTTTCCCAGTTTTAGTGAGACTATAGAGATGATGTGTGAGAAGCTGTCCCAAGCCAGGCGACAGGCAAAACTTCTGAGGGTTTTGTACTATATAGCTATCACGCCCCTCTCACAGTCCACCCCCCTCGCTCCGCCCCTTCCACGGCCGGGGCTGGAGGGGAAAGCCGTGCGTAAAGTAAAAGAGGGGAATAAGCAAAGGAAAAGGTTATAGAGTCACCACATATGGAAAAATCCCATATGGCATTTTCCACGTTTACAAGCAGGAAGCCGCAATCACAATGTTTACACACAGAGCCTCACTATAAAAGCCTCCGCGGTGTTAGAGAAGAGAGAAGCCGAGAGTGGAAAGGGATGCGGCTCATGCGCTCTGACTCAGGTGAGAGTGATGCGTCCGTGGGTCATACCTGATGCCGCTGGGAACTGGACACAAGCGATGATGTCATCTTTGGAGCTGGGAGAGAAAAACAACACCCAAATAATAATAGTAGTAATAGTAATGGTAATGGCGCAAGGCAAGTTTATTTTTGTTTACACAGTTCATACACAAGGTAACTCAAAGTGCTTGACAAAACAAGAAAAGACACATTATAATCACACACACAAGGCATTACAATCATGAATAATCACAGTGTGTTAAAAAAGAACAAGCCCTCAGTTGTATTCACAGCTGAACTGAACTGTTGTCAACCTGGATTTGAACATTGTCAGAGAAGAAGCCATGTCTCACATTTTCAGGAAGACTGTTGCAGATCCGCATTTTTAGGGGAAGCCAATCATAATAATTATAATAAAACAATACTGATAATAATAATTCTAATAATTATTATTATCATAATTATTCTAATTATAATGTTGGGTTTTGAATGTCTCATTATCCATCATTACACTTTATTACATGTCAATAAACGAGTGTAAAGAGTGAATAGGCGCCATGTCCTGCCTCGGAATGTCTCCACATACATATTGAAATATTCTGTTCTGGTGAATGACCCACATCTGCATCTTTGTGGAAACATACATTTGTTTGAAAAACAAGTGGTTTGTCTGGACATGTCCTAAGATATACACTGACATCTAGTGACTCTAGGTGGAACCGCAGAAACACAGTCTTTGGGATAACATTATTTTAGTAAAAAGATAAACAACGGCTTTGGAAGCCGTGAAGCCTCAGAGTCTAAGCAGGACAGAGCCTGGGTAGTTGTATTGTGATGGGAGACCAATAGGTTCTTCAGTCCAGGGGCGGATGAGGTGTTTTAGAGCTACACTATTGATGTGTCCTTAAGAAAAACATGTCAACCACATTACCTCATGTGAAACTAGAGTGTGTGGATGTTGGTGGTTGATGGCGCAGATTGGCAGCCTTGTTTTTACCATGAAGCTACTGAGGCTACGGAAGTCATTTGAAAGACTAAGCATCGATGTTTAACATAGATCTGAGGTGATAGAGCAGAAAGATAATAAATATATTATTCAAACAAGCCATAACAGAGAAAGTAAAGTAAGTTCTTGTTCCTCTGTGGTTTCTATGAAGTCACATGTTGTTGAAACGTGTCAGTCCTGCTTTATCAAAAGGCTGATTCCCTCCTGGATTTGTCTTGATCTATGCCACAATCCCACACGACTTAATTCAGCCCTACTTGGTATATCTTAATTTTCAATGTATTTTGTCTATAGATCGCACGGTTCCCAGTGAAAGGATGAGAACATGTGTTGGTCATAGTGACATTATTGTTGTGACTCACCTGAGACTCAACAGGAGCCAGCTGTTCCCCCTAGTGGCCAATGTGTCTGAGAGCATTTGTCCAACACACAATAGATGATTGTATTACTTTATTATACACACACAGACATAACACACAACCAAAGCTGATTTTCAACGGGACATTAGCCACAGCCTCTTTTGAATACATGATTTTTACATACACAATGCAATATACTATCCTTTGTATTCTTTCATTGGTTATTTTTATAGCACTGTGGTCCACCTTATAATGTTAGCCCCAGTTTAGAAACATTCTCCTTTTTTTATATTCGTCCCACTTCCACTGACCCAACCCCAACAGGCCTTTAACCAACAGTATAGTAATCATTCATTGGAAAAAGTGAGACAATCTTTTTTAATCAAACAATTATACCCCGCAAAACTGTCTTGGCAGCAGTTGGTTACAATCTTAGATGCTCTGAACAATATGTCACTTAATATCCTGCTTTATGACTTCCCATAATTATTCGACTTCCAAAACCTGGCTGCTTTTATAATGTAATCAGTCTGCAGCAGATGGTATAAACTTTGAAGGAGTTTCCTGCCAACCATTAATTCTCTCTGAACAAACATTATGTGATTTGACTTTTTGACTCTATTTTTTAGATGATATGGATTGTCCAAAGCAAACAAAAACATAGCATTATTATTATTATTATTATGCTATTATTATTATTATTATTATTATTATTATTACTACACCATATATTTTCCATGTTAAAGCATTAGGATGTCTGCATCTGCAAATCTTTCGAAATATTTGCCGACACTTGACGTCAAAATAAACGTCATCTTGATTTCAGCATATACCATTCGCTACTGGAACAAGCGGGAAATACCATAAACCATCTATTTTCTACTGGTAAATCTTCTCTTGAAACTCAAATCAATAGAAATACAGCTGAATCCAAGCACTTATTACCCTGTTTTTTGACTTTTTTTTCCAATGTCCCCTTGAGGACCCAAACCACACAGCAAAAAGTAATTTCACTTCAGCTTGGATCTATGCAAAAATGGATCTAGAGCTGAATTTGTTGATATTTTTATATTACCAATACATCCCCTTGGAAGGTTTTAACTCCGTTGAGGGTCCATCTGAAATTTTGAGGTTTTGAGCAAAAAAAAAAAAAAAATCGCTCCTCATAAAACCCTCAAAATTGCTCAGATCGCTCGCACAAGTTTAGTGTCTGATTACTGCAAGGAGAAATATGTCAATAACTAAAAGTCAAACTGCATGCTTCCAATTCCTTTATCATTCCAAACATGAAATGGCTTCGTCTCGATAAATAAGCTTATTGTTTTAGCTTGTTCCAACAGCAAATCTGCAATCAAAATAAAACCAATTTACCGCAGGTTTTAACTTCCCTTATCACCCTTGTTTTTTTTGCAATGAGCCACAACATTATAACACCACACGTACATATACACAGATGGACACAGTGAGACTCGCAGACCCCGGGTCAGGGTCCCAGCCTCATCATGACAGCACACTCAGGGCGTCTGTGAGCGTCTTCAGGTCGTCTTTGAGGCATTCCAGGCCTCCTTGGATCTTGAGGGGATTGTCTAAGACCTCCACGCTGCAGGAAAATGGATCGTACCTCACGGCGAAGGGACGCTTGATTCCGGTGACAAAAGCCCTGGATTCAAGAAGAGAAACACGCAGTTATAGTTCATGTCCAAAAGAAGATACTACGGACTTATCGCACTTTGCTAGTGGGAAAAGGATTTGTAACTTTCAGTTTTAGTTCTGAGTTTGTGGGGAAAAGTTTTGTGATCAATTGTTTTTGATTGGTCTTACTACCATCACAGAATATATGCACAGAATATATGCATAGAATTATTTGTTGTATAACTTAATAATAATAAGCTTCTTTCTTCTCCTTTTTGTTGACATTTATTTTATTTTTATTGTTGTCTGGTATTTTTTGTTTGTTTTTTTGTTCTTATTCGGTTGTTTTTATTCCATACTCAAATAAACTTTCACTCATGCATTCATTCATGTGTTGCAAATGCTACTATTTTTTGAAAGAATGGTGGATTTTAATAATAATTTGTTTGCCATTGTCAATAAATGGTAAATACATAAACGGAAACATTTAAATAACACTTTCCTACCTTCTCAAGGCACTCAAAGCCCTTCACATCAAAGAACCAACCAGACACTGGGGATGAGGCGGATTAAGTGTATTACCCAAGGACAAACAGAATCAATCACTAATGGGAGCCACAATGGGAGTCAATCTGACTGCTCAACCAATCATTTTCATGTCAGGAGCAGGATTCGAACCGGCAACCTTCAACTCAGAGGACACACTCTCTACTTAAGCAAGCACCTACGCAACTGCTACCCAATAATATATCTTTCTCAATTTTTTTTTTAGAAAAGGCATAATGGCACAGGAAATTGCACTAGAAATTGCACTAGAAACTACACAAGAAATTACTCTAGAATTTACACTAAATTACACTAGAAATGACTCTAGAAATTACACTAGAAATTATGAAATTTTAATGAAAATTAGAAAATACACTAGAAATAAAAAAGGCCAGTGTCGCCTTTCAAATACACATATTGCTGTGCTTTACATATACATTTTATATGAGTTCATGGCTTTGACACTATGTGAACGCGGCTTTACTAATTGCATTCGTCCTAATTCCTACTCACCGCACACATAATCAACCACAGCCAATTTGAGATTAATCAATTATATATTAAAACTATTTTCACACGCAATTTTTTCACTACTTGGGCGACCATGACAAAAGGGTGGTCATAGATTTGTTATTTAATTTTAAGAAATCACTTTTATCTTCCTTAAACAGTTTGTATCATCCATGCGCTTTGCACACCCGTGTTTACCATTTCCAAACTCCTCAAAACTGCTTGTCCCTGTAGCCCAAACACTGTCAATGGCACAACTTGTTTTTCAGAGCCACATTTGAAGTTTTGGCCAGATCAAACTTTATTTTGTCCTTTTTTTGTCTCCGTATAAGGAAAGACAGCATTAGCAACAGCTGTCTCCTGGCTGACCCAAAAAATCGCTTGTGGCTGGAGGGTTTGGATGGCTGTTCTGTCCTTACACAACCCCTCATTGTGATATTTTTTTGTTTTTCAAATTCTTCCTCTTCTTCCACCCACTCAAACATTTTTCATAAATACCTGAATTTCTCCTTCGCATCTGCAAAGCTCTCAGAAACAAAATAGACGGGCTGATAGGTCTGGTCTTGATAAGGCTGCACCGCCGCCGCCTCCGGATCAAACTCTCTCCGCTCTGGCTCATCCGAAAGCGAATGCTGTGGAGTTTTATGGAACGTGAAACAAAACAGATTCACATTAACTCTACGGATTGACTCGATGTTCTTTTGGGAAAGCCGTAACAATAAGCAGGGGGTCTCAAGAAGGGTGAACAGGGTGAAACGTTTACCACCAGTTCGCCGTATGAAGACAGCAGTCCAGCACCGTAGGCTCGCAGCTCGCCGTTCTGTTTACACAAACCGTACTCCACCGTAAACCAGTACAGCTGCACGGGCAACAAAGATCTCAGCAAAACAACTCGCAGAAACAAAACTAGGAAAAGGTATTTGCGGGAAGTTACCGTGGATAGTTTTTCGATGTCCTCGTCACAGGCTCCTAATGAGGCCAGGCCCAAGTTCTTCGGTGGAAAAAGATAGTTATGGTTAGATGTATGGAAGATTTTTAATTTTAAATAAATTTTTCCATTTGAAATTTGTAAACTGAATTTTTAGTGACTGAAATGCAGAGACAAAAATATTCAAAGATGCTTTTTCATGGTTAAAATATTCAAGCTCATTTAAAAGTCAAAGTCTGATGACACAAAAATTCTTCCATATAGATGAAATATAGATGAAAATTTATTGATTCAGGAAAGTTCAGAGTTGCAGTACCTGCGAGAACTGGGCAAACATGCGGTCGGCCAACATGGGAACGTGGCCCAGCAGCTCATGGACACAATCACTGTTACAGAAGAAAAAGTACAGTTTGTTCCACCAAGATATTTTAAGACAATTATAAACATTATTAATATCGAGTTTCAGAACAATAGCCTCAAAGTATTTGGCCTATAATTCACTAACGTTTGCATAAGAATTTATGAATGGTTTTTGCTCAGACCGCAGAAGGATACTTTATATTGTACGTCTGTGTTGAGGATTAGAAAGGATGTATGATTAAAGGAAAATGGCAAACGATGCATTGCAGCCCAGGAATGTGCCTCAGAAGACATGTTTATGGGTTAAAAAAAGAGAGAAAGTCACTTATTTCTCATCAATAGAGACGTCTCATATATATTCTTGGAATTAAAAAAATCCACATTGTTTTCTATGAGTTTATCCTGTGTTAGTCAATATACTTATATTCATCACCAGAGTTTATTCATTAAATTAATTTCTGTTTAGTCCTAAATCACAACAGTAGTTATCTCGGAGGACTTTACAAAGCTGTCGACTCGCCAACACAGATCAGAGTTGAATCAAACCGTTCAAACAAAGGAAATGCAGATACCTTGGTAAGTATCTTCATTAAGAGTCGTGAGATAAATAAACAGTTAATGAATGTGACTCACGGTTCGGGGGAGTGCATGGGGGACGAGGCGTGGCGGATGTACTGGGTGCACTGGAACACTCTGAACGCCAAACTGGCCAAAAAGTCTCTGGCTGAGAGCAGACCTGCCACCGGCCGCAGGATGAAGCCGGTTCGCTCTGACAGGAAGTAAAAAGATCCCTCAATGATGGAAGTGACGTGTTTGAATGAAGCAAGAATAAGAAACATTGGATCCTCCTGTGGACTCACCACCTGCAGCAGGATCAGTGAGAGGCTGGTGCTCTGTGGACCGAGCTCACCCCCCGGACCCAGAAATGGATTAAGGGGAAGAAAATGGATGGATGGAAGAAACAACAGCCCTCAATGTATGCAAAGTATGTATTGATTTTATGGTTAGTGTTAACAACTATAATTTTGGTTAAAGCACAAGAGAAAAAATGTAGTAAACGTGAGGGGTCAGGTGCTTTTCAAAGATCCATGGGGGAAAAAAGGTGGAAAACAAAAAGGAAGGGTTAGGGTTAAGGTCCAAAGCACTTGTTATTGTGGGGACTGCATTGCGTTTCGAAGCCTCTCGGGAAATCATCAAAGCCATTGGTAAAAAAGTGGTACAATTATGAAGTGATTTTTATTTTAAGTCAGACTGCCTCGGCCCCTTTCCTCTTTGTTTTCCATATGAAATGTTGATTTCATATGATTCATATCATAGGAATGACAGCATGTGTGATGATGTAAGATCAAAAAGATAAGATTAGATGAGATTAACCTCCATTTGTAGGGCTATTGTAGGTTCCTATTCTTGTATTTTGATGACATGGAGAACAGATGGAAACTGTTTTGATATTTCAGCAGGGGCTTCGGGCAAAGTGGGGTTAAGAGTCTTGCCCAAGGACACAAGGATAGGACGACAGTAGCTCAGTTGGTAGATAATTCGGCTTTGAGCCAGAGGGTCGTTGGTTCGAGCCCACCACAAGACTTTCTCCACCGACCCCCGTTGATGTCTGCTGTCATTGTGTCCTTGGCAAGACACTTAACCTCTGGGAACACCTGATGCCACAGTGGGGCGGCTGCGGCTGTAAAGTGTCAAACTGCCGTTGTGTCCTTGGGCAAGACACTTCACCCCCATTTCCTATAATGGGTCTGGTGTGAATGGTTGGTGGTGGTCGGAGGGGCCGATGGCACATACTGGTTGCCTCGCTTCTGTCAGTGTGCCCCAGGGCAGCTGTGGCTACAGTGGTATTTTATCACCACAGTGTATGGAGTGAATGAATAATAACATGTGAAGTGTCTTTGAGTGTCAAAAATATAAACCCATGCATTAAGGAAAGCAGACAACAGTGGGGTTGAAGTAGGTCTCGTATTGGACCAGTGCTCAACCAACTGAGCCACTATCACTGCCCTAAACTAAACTATGTCACTTATACCTTTTCAAAACCTCAAAACGTATCTTTTCTCTCACACAGTTGGAACAAAGAGTGTGTCCTTTACCCTTCATGAAGTTGGACACATCTTCCAGCTGTGGGATGTTGTCGGGGCTGTAGCCACAGTGTTTCTCCAGGAGGCAGAAGGACTCGTGGTATTCGCTGCACGCGTGGGTGCGGTACAAGTCTCTCAGGGTGGAGTAGACTTCTCTCCTGGATACAGAAACATGGATCACATATGAACAACAGTGTTTCGTGTGTGTGTGTGTGTGTGTGTGTGTGTGCGTGCGTGTGTGTGTGTGTGTGTGTGTGTGCGTGCGTGCGTGCGTGCGTGCGTGTGTGTGTGTGTCTGGATTGTGCTATACAAAAAAACAAATGGACAAACAGTGACAAGAAAACTGCAGCTCAGTGAGTTTATGCTTAGGTGAACGACAGTGGAACGCAACAAACATGAAAGAGACGTCCTAAATAATGATCGTACTGACAGAGAGAGAGAGGGGGAGAGAGAGGGGGGGAGAGAGAGAGAGGGGGAGAGAGAGAAGGGGAGAGGGAGAGAAAGAAAGATAAGAATATATAGAGAGAGGGAGAGGGGGGTGAGCAAGAGAGGAGAGGGGGAGAGAAAGATATATTTAGAGAGAGAAAGAGAGGGAGAGAGACAAAGAGAGGGGGACAGGGAGAGAGATGGAGAGAGAGAGAGAAAGAGAGGGAGAGAGATAAAGAGACAGAGAAATAGATGGGGAGAGAGGCAGAGAAAGAGATGGGGAGAGAGACAGAGAAAGTGAGGGAGAGAGCTACAGAGAAAGAGATGGAGAGAGAGAGAAAAAGAGAGAGAGAAAGATAAAAGAGAGAGAGACAGAGAAAGAGATTGAAAGAGAGAGCGAGAGAGAGAAAGAGAGGGCGAGAGAGAAAGCGCAAGCGAGAGAGAGAGAGGGAGGGAGAGCGGATGAGAGAGAGTGAAAGAGAGGGAGAGTTGATGCATTCATGTGTTCATGTGTAGTGTATTTCCCAGACAACAGTATAAAAGATTCTGGAAACATTCAGGTAGAGCATAATACAGTAAGATCGTTGACTCCATTAACACTCCAACACAAAAGAGACATATTGATCCTCACTCTGTCATAAATAATAATGTTACTATTGTCATTCATCCTAACGTCGTAGAAAAATACAGTAAATACATAACATAAAAACCCTCTCACCATGTGCTTATCTCCTCGGCCGTGTACTCCACTCTGGGAATGGGCTGTCCGCTGAGCACCAGAGACAAACACAACATGAGGCTTAAAAGGCCTTTTTAATTGTTTTTATGGAAGTCTGTTCAATGTACATGCTCACTGCCTGTATCTGAAGGCAATGTCCCCAATCATCTTCCTCCTCTGTCTGTACACTGGGTCTGTGAAGCCCTGTCCAAATCCAATTCAGCACACACTGATCACATTGTTCTGATAGCAAATGTCCCGCTAACAACATAACGGCCAAGTCATAACCACATCATGCGCTTTTTTTTTAACTTACAGGATGATCTTGGTCTAAATCTGGATCAAATTTTGTGACCAAATGGTGGCATTTGTCGAGGTCTCCTATTTTCTTTGGGAACCAGTGAACTGTAGAGAGCATATAAGAAGAGAAAGAAGTTATGCCCCATACAAAGCAGAGTTAAAGGAGAGAGATGCGGCGGAGTGTGCGTACATTTGACCTCTTTGTTGGTTTTGACGTCCTCAGCGTTCCTCTTCAGAGAGCCGATCAAAGTGCTGACGTCTGTGAGGTGCACTTCACAGCGGACGAAGTACTCCAGCCCCTCCAGGCCGTCCCGCAGCCGACGGGAGGGTCGCGTCTCCAGGTGGTGGATCTTTGCCTCAAAAGTCTGAAAGTGCAATAATAATAATAAGTCAGGAGCTAGAATCAACTAAGCCAGGGGTGTCAAACTCATTTTGGTCGGTGGTAAATTCAAAAACCTAATAGCTGGTTGGGGTCTTTTTTTTTAATCTAAATTTACTGTATTTGACATGAGTTTGGATATTATCTGGTAAGTTTTGATTCAACCACAACATGGGCAAAATATCATTAAGAGAAGTATGGGAAGAGTCCTAGTTGGAAAATGAAAGAAATAATGTTTATAGCTATAACTTCTAAAGACATGTTAGTTAACATTTTAGAACAGATACAATTACATGATTTTTCCTGAGACAATACGGCTTTTAAGTATAACGCAGTATATGCCATAGTAAATAGTAGCTTCTTACCGTCAATGCTGCAAGTTACAGCGATAAAGATAATTGATCACTCCAAGGGCCACTAACAATGGTCTCGCGGGCCGGATTTGGCACCTGGGCCTGAGTTTGACGTTCCTGAACTAAATTAATGGTGGTGTACCATTCTGTATTCATATCTTCAGTTCAGGATATTAGAAAGGAAAAATGTCTTCTTAAATGTATGTTAAGATTAAAATGAATAGATCTTTTATTTGTCCCATGGCGGGGAAATGTCAGTGTTGCATCACAAGTTACAGAACAGTAGGAATGAGAAGCACAGAGCATAAGGGAAAAGAATGTGAAGAATAATCAGGACTGTGCACAGATGAAGAGACAGTATGAACTAATGATGAATGATAATGATCTGATATTTGTAGATTGCAGCTGCCTCGGGGCAAACTGACAGAAATGTGGTAATGTATCATTGGCTTCTCTGACCACCACCAATCATTCACTCACTCACCAGGCTCATACGGAGAGGCATTGTGGGAGTGAGGTGGGGTTACAGAGACGTCCGAGTCCCCATACTTACAACCAAAATCAATCTATTATTTACAAGCTGATTTTTGAAAAGCCAGATCTTAGCCTAGTTTGCAACGTTTTTTTGCAATGAACTCTTCACTAGTCAATGATCAAAATAGTAATTTCATTAAAACTGTCAACATCATACATTAATTAATTAATAAATACAAAGATAAATGTCCACAATGGCAAATTATTATTAATGTGTCACTGTCACTACAAATCTGACATTCAAAAATATTTATATTATTATAATTAATTAGCACCTGTTGTGTGCTGGAAACAATGAAAAATAAAGCCTTAATATTATTTTCTGACTTATTTATTGTGTTATTATCTTGACAGTTGCAGTGCTCAATTATGCCCTCTATAAATTACAGAAATAATGCACATATATGTATTTATTTATGTAAATAACCTAAATGGATGTGACAACGTTAACGTAAATTTGAAATCTCACCTCGAAGACTTTGAGTGCGCGGGACAGGACCTGCGTCTTGTTGCTGAGCGTGAAGAAGATGTTGAGCAGCGCTTTTCCGTCGTCTTCCTCAAACACGATCTGTTCACTGACCTCCGCGGCTGAAGCTGCGGCCGCCGCTGCCTCCCGCTCTTTACGCGCGTCATCGATCAGACTCTGCCGCCGCCGCAGGAACTTTGGCGACTGTCGCGGGGAACGAGGAGAGAGCAGAAAGGTGAGCGCTCGTTCAGTTTAGTGGAGGAATAGATCAGATTCAGATTCAGATTCAGATTTAGATTTAGATTCAGTTTCAGATCAGATTGAGATTCGTGGTGACTTGTGGAAGAGAAATCCTGGCGCAACAGGTGCACCAAGAATGAGGGGAAATTTCTTTGTAATTACGCATCATGTTAAAAGCAAAGTGACTGCTCCACATGCTGTATACAGTTATGTAATTTCATTTTTGATCACCACAAACTTACTTTGTGGAGGAGACCAGTTTATTTGAATAGCACAGTGAAAACACAAGGGAATTGCTTAACAAATCAAGAGCTTGCAGAGTTTTCCCAATGTTTTACGGCAAATGGAAAATACAATCTTGAATCCTGACCAAGAAAATAAACGTTAAAGACTGGAAATGAAACCTGCAGGAGACACTTGACGTCCCACCGCACGGACATGGATAATGGATAATGCTGTGTCCAACATGCATCAGGTCATAACAGGCTGACACCAGGTTTACTGTCAATCGTTGGAAGCGGTCGTTATTTGTCGTCCCCGTGGACAGAGTCTTACCGTGATGGAGTCTGCCCTCTCCAGCTCGGACGGTGCCCTGCGGACGCTCTTGGCGGAGGACGTAGAGCCGCTGGAACGAGGCATTTTAAAGAAAATAAAAGTTTTTTCGCACAGAGTACACGCCGTGGTTGCGTTTCTCTGAGCCGTGCAGGTTTATCCCCTGCGCTTTTTTCAGCTGAGGACCGATTTGCGCCTTTTATGGTCTCGTTTGTTTAGGCTGTGACGTCAAACAAATCAAACTGATCAAATCAATAAAGTGGCGCAGGGAGCACGCGCACAGGACACGTCCACGAGCGACAGATCCACTTCCACGTAGAGCTATGTATTTATTCACTTACATATGGTTTAGTATTTTAACAAAAGTTGCTTTATGTAATGTTAATATTACATCTTATGCCCTCATTCTATCCTCTTCTGTTGCTCTAATTATAACCATTACGTTATCGTTACAAAGTTCTTATAAATATTAATTTATGGTTTGTCTAATGAGAACTCAAACTTACATTTTCACAAAAATTAAAACTAAAATCTCAAGTTCCATCTTTGCTCTTTGGTCCTTAGGGACACTTCACCCACTTTGTCTAGAATGAGTCTGGTGTGTGAGGTTGTAGGTGGTCAGAGTTGGCAGGTTGCCTCTATCAATCTGTCTCGGGGCAGCTGTGGCTATACAGTAGAAGCTTATAATCACTGTAATGAATAATCAAGTGTCTTAGAGCGTCCAAAAAGCGCTGTATTTATGTCTATATTATTTAGCGTCATGGGCAATAGGTGATTTATGCTCATTCTAGTAAATTAGACTTATAAGTAGCTGATAATGGTGTTACACTCTGTAAGGTGTTGGATTTAAGTTAAGTAATGTTATGCAAACTATTACATTACTTTGTGTATACCTCTAACGCTTACAGCAAAATAATTACTCTTAACTATAACTTTATCAATTACATCCAACACTTTCTAATTTCTAAAATCTATACTGATATTAAATTAACCACTTATGCAAAGTTGTTGTTAGTTTGCTAATGAGGTACGTCTCCATGTTGATTGTAAATCAGGAAGATCTTAGGGTGTCCTTTTACACAACAAGCAAAGTAAATGTGGAACATCCCCTGATCCTTGCTCAAAGGTCAAAGCAGAAAAAGACAACTATATGGGAGATTAGGTCACTTTATCAGTACAATCCAATCTACACGGCTGCTCCATAATTACATTTGAATGTGGGAAATCAAGGCCGATGTGCCGTGGGCGTCGCACACTCTGCTCCTCCACAAACACAGGTTTATCTGCAGCGCCTTGTCCTCCGCCGAGATAACGTGATTGTAAAGTGATGTACATGTGTCTCCAGGCCACAGGGGTGAAACCATTACACGTGGACTTCAGGCCAAACTCTGCCACCGCCAAAGCCTCACAACAATGGGGGAAAAGAAAGGTCCCAGTGCGACTGCTGTGACGAGACACAAGTGAAATACTAAAGAGCACAGGCCTGAGGCGAGGGCTGCCGCGCTGCTAATGCTCCACAAACATGAGGAAAGGCAGAGCTACTCTTTGACCATCTCTGCCGCAGCACATCTGAACCCAAGACTCCCACTGTGCAGCCAGCCCACGACCTTTCCACTGTGGGATAGACTCAAAGACGAGCAACAGATGCAAGAGTGGCATTTATACCATGAACACACTTTTACTCTTCATAATAGTGTCTCTTATGTGTCTTAAATGCTTTGTTCTTAAAAATGATTTAGCCGCAAGATTTTGTTTCCCAGTCGTGGTGGATCTGTGACAGTGATCTATCTAATACGTGACTGATGAGCTGTAACTGTTTGATCAGATCTGTGTTGGTGAATCAACAACTTTGTAAAGTCCTCCAAGATAACTGATGTTGTGATTTAGAGCTATAGAAAAATAAATTGAACTGAATTGAAGCTAATGTGCTTTTGCAGGTCTGTAAAGTTCTTTTGCAAAACACAAATGGAGCTGTGTACATTTAGGATCAGTGTGCATCATCTGTGGCATTCTTTTGCATAAACTGAACGTTTCTTCTCTTTCCACATGTTATTGTGGCGTCCCTGACTCATGGGTTCATTATCACTCCCGCAGGTATCCTGTCCACCTTTTGTTTGAAGAGTTGCACTTGAAATGTGCCAGTTATCCCTCTGTGTTTATCCAATTCCATCCCCTTTTCTGGAAGTGTCAGTCGTGACCACAAATGACACCAGGATGATAATTGTTACAATTATGTATTGATTCAGCGAGGCTGTGGAGGCATTGTGAGTGTCAGCTTTCCTCACTGTAATTGTGGGACTTCAGACGGCCTAATTACAGATAATGTGACCAGCTGGACTATTATACATACATGTGCTTTTTCTCCCCATCACCACTAAACAATGCAGTCACCTTTGTGTGGCCTCCGCGGCCCATGATGATGGCGGCACTCGCACTAATGTGGCAATAATGTCCAGGAAACGGTGAGGCCTTTAGTTGATCTGTGTAGTGATAAACATTCACTTTTCAAAGGGATCACTTGTCATTACATTATATTCTATATTGTATATTCACTGTAGGCAGTTGACCTGCCTGATGGTGCTCCAGTTTTCTGCACCACCCAAAACTTACACCATTTGTCACATCCTCCAGGTTGGTCCCGATCCAGCCCTAGAGAGGTTTCCTTATGGTTGCATCGAAGGATTGATAAAATGCAGAGGACAAATTGTTCTAGAAAGTATAGATTACCTCAACTTTAAAAAATCTGCCAGCTAAGAATGTACTCAAGCTCATCAAAACGTACGTATTGAAATGGAGGTTCCGGGAGACAGACTGAGGGTCTCAGCTCAGAGTCAGGAAGTGAAGGATTTGCATAAGTCCTATAAGTCATCCCGACATTACGACTATAGGCAACTGTGAGTGAATATAAATATGAAAGTGCATGTATGACTTTCTGGGACAGCGGGACATGTGACGGTGATGACAGTGATCTGCAGAAGTACAGCTGCTCTGAGTCTGGTCAGTGACGGACGGTCGTTCTGCCCTAGACACAAGTACAGCTGTGAGCCCACCAATTAGAGAGCTGTCACTGAGCGCCCTGAAATAGACGCTCTCATTCATAAAGTGAGCTTCCACACAGGAGCCTTTTTGCAAATGTCATTAAATGTGATCACGTTATGATTTGATAGAGTTCACTGATTGGAGAGCCTCAAATGGAGCAATATGTGGAGCCTGCGGAAAGTCAATTACTGTCGTTAAATGTTAAACGGTCGAACATGGGCCTGGACACTAAAGTAGGAACATTACAGTCAATATATTGGTCATTACTTCTGTGCTTTGCTCGGCCTGACGGTGGGTTAGCATCTCTCCAGGGCACAACTAAAATACAGTTTTAACCTTTGACAAGATATTATTATACTTATTATTACGTAATCACTCAATAAGACCTTAAATGTACATGAGCAACTTTTTCTGTATTTATTTGTAGTATTAGTAATGGATGGATGGTGGAAGACTGAACTTGTGTCTATCGTGTGAACTTAGTAATTTTAAGATATGTTACGTAGATTTGTTATTTATTTTTATCCATGCCTTGTTCTATTTTTACTTTTATAACTTGTTTGCGTGGAGTCTTAATGTGTGACTTCTTCTTACTCACTGGCAAAAAAAATTATTATGATTTTCTTTTTTGGTGCATTTCTCGAAATAGTCAAAATAACCAGTGTTACTAAACAAAATGAACTCTCACTGGAAATAAGAAACTTGCTACAAATATCTCAAAATATTTTGGTCCTAACTTTTTTTTTTATCCGTCATATTAGTGAAGGTTATGGAGGAGAAGAGTTTGGAGATCAGAGGAAACGTGTCGTCTCAGAACAATCACAGGCTGCAATTAGATTTACCTTTCTCTATAACGGCCGATGAACCAGTGGACAGCCATCGGCCCGGGGCGAAGCAGCTCTCAGCACCAGGACCTCAGATAAACCCACCCCCCACCTGTCTGCTCACAATTCTTTATTATAGCTTTTTATGTACTTTTTCATACTAACCTGTCCTTTGAGCGTCCAATAAACGCTTATGATGAATTACGACTTATGAACAATATTCTAAATGTGTACTTTCTGTATGTATTGGCAATTTTAGGTCTGCTTTCTATCACATAACGTACAAAAGTATGTTCGAATCCCGGTCGAAACAGGGTCTTTCTGATTGAAGTTTGTATGTTCTCCCTGAGTCTTCTCCGGTTTCCTCCAGGTGCTCCGGTTTCCATTAAAAACATGTACAATAAGTCTGGCATGCATGCACCTCCTGTACTGGCGACCCCTCTCCCATCTCTGTGTGGAGTGAGAGAAAAAGGCCCCCAGCGCTTTGTGACTCTAGTCGATGAAAGGCGCTATATAAAAAACATTGCTTACTTACTTACCTGTATGCAATGCAATACCTTGAATGCGCTATAAAAAGGTCCACTTTTTAAATATGACTCTGCCCTTCTCAAAACACCCTTAAATGTCAAAACCGAATTAAGACATTTGCTTGCGGATGTGTTGAAGCTGAAGTCACAGAAAAACATCCCATTTACATTCACATTCGTTTAGTCGTTAGAGATGACAGAGATGAGAAATGGTCTGTGCCTAAAAGGTTTATTTGTCATGGCAGTTTAGCAAAGACAGGGATTGCTTATTGATGCAGATGAAAGTAAATGGTACAAAGTGTCGCTCCTGCCGCGGCTACGTACCATGGATCAATGTCTTTGCAAAAACACCAGCGCACCTGACCACCGGACACACCCGGTTACCCCCATCTGTCATTTTTGGCCTCTCCATCCCAATCCCCCTCCCTGCAGCTGCGTGTGTATGTGTGTGTGTGTTGCTTTTGATTGCGCGTCCCTTTACGTCTGTGTACGTCTGATTACCGTGTACAGACAGGCCATTACACTTTAATAGATGGCAAAGGATGCAGGGCCATAGACAATGCCTCCACTTCATACTATATCAATACAGCCACCTGGGAGTTTGGACATTTCATTCCCAAAACCAATACAGTCTGGAATGAGCTGAGCCGCTGTGGCGTTTTCGATCAACAAGACACAGTAAAACTATCAAGGCTTCGACAATCTTTTTGGTCTCAATAAAAATAGATAGATAGATAGATACAGTAGATAGATGGATAGATAGATATGCTGTATGTTGGTCTGTATACAGGATTTGCTATTTAATAATAACAAGCCATTTGCATCCTTTGCCATTCGAAATAAATTATCAACATTGATCCAGACTAACATAGATTTTCTTGTGCCAAACATTGTCACATTTTTTTTTCAATCTTTAGCAAATTGCCCGTTGTCAATATATGGAAATGTCAGGCACCAGCTGCATTTGAAGGTTGATCGTCTTTTTTGTTTTGACAACGGATTTCTATTCATAGACACAAGGCAGAGAAATATGGATGACAACGCAGAAGCAAATGTATGTCTCTGTTTAATCTATAACAATATTCTATGACATATCTTACCTTCAGCTGTGTTGGTGTACCAGTGCAACATGTTGGCTGGAAAACTAACAATTCATTAAAGGAGAATGTTTTTGTGGCTCGGTGGCTGAGTGGATAGCACTCTCAGCCTCTCAGCAAGAAGGTCCTGGGTTCGAATCCCAGTCGGACCAGGGCCTTTCTGAGTGGAGTTTGCATGTTCTCCCCGTGTCTGCGTAGGTTTCCTCCGGGTACTCCGGTTTCCCCTACCACTAAAAATATGTCCAATAGTTCTGGCATGCGCCTCCTGTACTGGCCCCGCTCCCATCTCTGTGTGGAGTGAGAGACAAATGCCCAAAAATTAACAATTGTAAACCGCTTTGAGACTCAGATCTGCAGTGAAAAGGCGGTATATAAATAAAGATTACTTACTACTACTACTACTTACTTACTAAAAAAAAATAAACAAAAAATAAAAACAGTCCTTCCCTATGTTTGTGAGTGTGTGTAGCAAGATGTTGTGTGTAGATCATATCTATGTCATGGGTGTCATTCTTGGTTCCGGTTAATTTTCACATTCTGTCTAGGGGCGTAAAGTGTCTTATGTATGACACAGCGTGTAGTGAGCAGGAGAAAGTGTGTTGCAGATATAAAGTACAAAGCAGTACTTTTGTTTGTTTAAGGTCTTTTGGTCTAAACATGTGTCTATAGTGTTCAAGCAATAAGAAAAAACTAGTGTAAGCAGCAGGCTGGTCAAATTTAACCAGGAACACCAAATTAAGGGGCAAGAAACAAACACGACTTATGCACACAGGGACAGAAACACATTAAGGCGGGGAAGGCAACCAACAGAACAGGTGACTAAACTAAAACTACAAAGATATAGTAGAACAAATAATACGAAAAAATAAACAAGGACTGTTTGTATTAGATCTTAGTTGAACAGGGGTTATTCAAAACAAAGGAACGAAATGTCAGAAAACCGGCCAGCTGTACAGATGATGGGTGAGCAACCTTCTTTATCATGACAGTCCATAATAAACAAGGCAAGGCAAGTTTATTTGTATGCAAGGCAACTCAAAGTGCTGAAAAAGACAAGATAGCATTAAAATCATAAATAATCACAGTACATTAAAAAGAAAGATAAAATATAAAATCCCTCAGTTGTATGCACAGCTAAACAGAACTGTTTTTAAACTGGTTTCAAACATTGTCAGTCCCTGTGCTCCTCAGAGTCTGGGCCGGTTCATATGGGACTAACATGTCACTAATGTACTTTGGTGCGAGGCCATGGAGAGACTTGTACACAAGCAGAGCTGTTTTAAAGTCTATTCTCTGAGCCACAGGAAGCCAGTGCAGGGACCTGAGGACTGGACTGATGTGATCATACTTCCTGGTTCTAGTCAGGACTAGTGTGGTCATACTTCCTGGTTCTAGTCAGGACTAATGTGATCATACTTCCTGGTTCTAGTCAGGACTAATGTGGTCGTACTTCCTGGTTCTAGTCAGGACTAATGTGGTCGTACTTCCTGGTTCTAGTCAGGACTAATGTGATCATACTTCCTGGTTCTAGTCAGGACTAATGTGGTCGTACTTCCTGGTTCTAGTCAGGACTAATGTGGTCGTACTTCCTGGTTCTAGTCAGGACTAATGTGGTCGTACTTCCTGGTTCTAGTCAGGACTAATGTGGTCGTACTTCCTGGTTCTATTCAGGACTAATGTGATCATACTTCCTGGTTCTAGTCAGGACTGTCACTCCCGGATTCGTCCCAGAAACCGGATTCGTCCGGAAGTTTAGTTTGATCCATTGATCATATGCAGCAGTAGATTACGTCACAGAATCTGGACGGAAGCGGAAGTAAATATAACAAACTACCTATTCATGCCTAAACTTAACCAGCCATTCCCATGAAATAACCCCAACCTAGCCTTAACCCGAAACTTAACCATCTTACTTAGACACCTAAAACTTAACCAGTTACCACTTAATGACTTATTAACTGAACTTCCGGACGAATCCGGGAGTGACAAGGACTAATGTGGTCGTACTTCCTGGTTCTTGTCAGGACTCGAGCTGCTGCATTTTGAATGTACTGCAGCTGTTTTACAGCCTGTTTGGACAGACCTGTGAGCAGGCCATTGCAGTAGTCTAACCTACTGGAGACAAATGCATGGATAAGAATCTCCAAGTCTGCTTTAGACACTATGTTTTTGATCCTGGCAATGTTTTTTAGATGGTAAAAAGTTGCTGATGTTACTGATTGGATGTGGCAATGAAATTTAAGTCTGAGTCCAGTATTACCCCTAGATTTCTGACCTTGTTTGAAGGTTTTAGGGAGAGAGACTGTAGATGACAGATGACGCTCTCTCTTTGTTTCTGGGGACCAAAGACAATCATTTCAGTTTGTCTGCGTTTAGCTGAAGGAAGTTTGCATCTACTCACTGATCTGTTGGATACAGTGAAGAAGTGAGTCTACTGGTCCATTTTCTCCTGCAGTCAGTGAGACACGGTTTCCAATCTCCACAAAGCACTTCCTGTCTTCAAGGTAAGACCTAAACCAACTTAGGGCGGTGCCAGCGACGCCAACCCAGTCCTCTAGTCTCTGTAAGAGGATCTCATGGTCGACAGTGTCAAAAACTGCGCTCAGATCTAACAAGGTTAAGATTAAGACTTTGCCTGCGTCAGTTTTCAGCCGGATATCGTTTGTTATCTTGACGGGAGAAGTCTCAGTGCTGTGGTGGGGTCTAAAGCTGGACTGACACATATCAAATAAGTTGTTGATTATAAGAAATCTAGTAAGCTGTTAGTAAAACACTTTTTCAAGGACTATAAATCTATAAACTATAATCTATAATATTTAAAGGAATACGGTGGGAATCTGAAGTCCCTGTTCAGATCTGCTTGTTGCCCAGTCCCAGAAGATGCAGTAACAGAAGCACAGATGTAGGAGTTCTGTCTGTGTGTGGCATAAACAGATGTATGAGTTAAAGTGAAAAGGGTAATCATGCACTTTCTGACAAATTACATATGTTCTGAGCTGCACAAGCACAGGTCATAGCAGACCCCCAGGCTGCAGCTTCACCGCACTCAACCTTTCCACTGCAGTCTGAGTTTAACCCCACTGAAGCCACTGATTCCTCTAAATGAAGTTTTACTGGAACACTGGACCTGTGATTTCTGGTGGTCTGAGGAGAGTTTCTGTGTCTGGATGACTCAGTGTGCATGAGCCAGGTGTCCGTCAGAGCCCACTCAGAGGCTGGACTGTGTACGGGCTGTGAACACCGACAACAGGTGCAGCTTTGTCTGAAAGGCTCAAATCTGACAGTGGCTTTTCAATCTCGATGTGCAGGCTCTAAACCGGCTCTCCATCTGTGATTTTTTAAAAAGTGATTCTAATTACTAAAAAAATGTATACGAAATCTTCAATAAAGCTTCTATAAGATTCTAATAAACAAACAAACAAGACATGTTGTTTATTTTTCTTATTTTTTTTTACAAATTCTACACAGATACCAAGGCGAAGCCAATAAAGTGTCTTGTCCAAGGACTTGTGCTCAAGTCCAAGGAACTTGAGCACAATGTGTGTGTTGTTTATGTGTACACACAAAACACATAAACAAATGCAAATTCAAACACTCAATTTTACAATAATACTGTATGTCCAATAATACACTATTTAGTTTATTTGTTTCCCACCAATGCTCCTATAAACATGAAAGGAAAAGAATGCCTCACTTCCAAAAATAGCTAATACTGTACTTGTGTTACCATTTCTTGGCATAGTCTGACTGCAGCAGAAGGACATTTGATTTGTTCTGTGAGAAGCTGCTGCTAAATGTCACAGTGACAGGACCATGCACCCTGAGGTCCTGCGCTGTCACTTCCCCTGCATTCACTGAACTGTGCATGTGCTGAGGGTGCAGGGTGGCCACCAATATCAGATCATCATTGATACCAGATATACTAAACATGTTTGTTCTTGAAAATGGCAAGTGGTTTAAAATGGTTTAAATGTGTATGTTTTGTATTTCTTTTATTTCATGAATCGATTTTACTTCAATCAAAATGTTATTTCCTGTTTGTTGAACAAAGAAAAGAGTTTGTATGCTGATATCTATTTCATGCTGATGCGTCTCTCCAACTTTGAAACCACAAAAATAACTATGAAATATCCATATAACTAGTCCATAACTCTCAAAAGAGTTTGGTTCTGTCACTTGTTTTCACATGCATGCATTGTGGTCTTTATCACATCTTTAGGCTATATTTTCTCATTGAAACAGCAAGCACCAGCCCGGTTTATCAGCTCTCTCAGCATGTTTTTATCTGATTTTATTTCGAACGTTTATCTAACCAGAAAAAAAAAATATCTATGAAACATAGCAAAATGCTAGTTAATCTAGCTTTGATGCAGGTGAAAATCTGATTAAATACCTAATGAGGCTATGATAATATGATACATCCAGAGATACATCTTATAATAGATCCATGAGATACATACTAGTGAGATGTTGCGACAGCCAACTGGGTGCTGCCCTCTTGTGGTGCTGGTGCCTAAAGCAGGTGAGTTCTTCAATCACACTGTAGGCTACGCGAGCTTGATCCATCAGGGAAAGAGTAAAAATTGGGCAGAAACTTGATTTAGCGATTAAGGAAAAATAAAACATTGCGTATGATATTCTATTGGCGAACAAAACACTTTCTTATCACAATTTTCTTTTCTTTTTTATGCAATAGTGAGTCATGAAGCCTGTGGTTTTGTTATTGACTTGCATCTCAGTTGTTCCACCTGATATACATAACAGCTATTTTTTCAACCATTTAGTGAACTGTATTGAGGAAAATATAATTCAATATTAAATATAATTCAATATTAAATATATAATTATATAGGCTACATTTTAAGTGAATTTGTAAGCTGATTGAGTTATTATTTTGATATTACAGCCATTATCTAATTATCTTTGTATTGGTTCTGTAACATTCAAATTCCCCTATTAACACCATCATTATAATAGATCCATGATTAACCCATGGCTCATAATTGAAATTTGATCTTGGATCTACAGGAAACAAGTATCACGCACTGTCTGTGAACGCAGCACGAGCGCTGTCCAATAACTGCTCTCGTTGTTATCACGTGGTGAAGCTCGCGCGTGTGGCTAGCAGCTGAAGCGTGAATTAGCATCAGCTCCGTTCTGTGTGAGGTAAGCGAAAATTACCACTTGTTATGACCACAGGTGTGACAAGTGCGCTATGAACAGAATAATATACGTCTGATGACATACACTTGTCTGGGGTGCGTCTCTCTTGGTATTGTCAGATCAATTTAGCCAACAGATTACCGGAGGCTAAAGCAACGTCTGCCTAAGCTAATGTTAGCATGTGTAAAGCACACTTCGCATGCTTTGTAACCTCTGCTTGATGGTCTGTGGATATTTCTATTTGACTATTGCAAAATTACCCGAAATCAAGACTTAAAATCCACCTTATCAGCTGATTTGAAGTGTATTTGTTATTGAATCTGCTTTACATAATTACTGGGTTAGCTTGTCAAATATAGCGTTAACGTTAGTACGCTCTGACTATAACACATTATTCTTCATCAAAAAGTAATGCTGTTGTCAGTCTGTTCGTTTGTTGTCGTAGTTAAACAATGTAATTTTTTTATCTGTACATCTGTCCATGCGTCATTGACATGCGCAGGCTCTAACATGTGTTGATCAAGTGAGTTCAAGCTGTCACCTGTCTCACGCCTGTCCTTACTCGTATTGTAGCAAGTACAAATGTAAACCGAAATATTTCAATTAAAAATTGTGTTTTTGTTGACAGGAAGTTTTCTGTCATGGACGCAACTATAGGTAAGCACACTCTACTAGTGGTGTCTTAGCAAGATTTCGTGTTTTTCTAGAATTAACTGAGAAATGTTATATTTTGTAGCCAAGGGAGATCATGGGGTTCAAAATCCAGGTGGACAAGGAGACAAACCTGTCAATTTTCAGGATTTGGAAAGGTATGCAGTGTGGACTGTTAAATTCTGTTATTATCTGTTTGTTCTCCTATCTGTCTTCATCACTTGCAATTTTAACAGTTTAATTATTTTGTGTTCTGTAGCATCCTTCCCAAAGCAGTTAAGAGGCGGGTCCATGCTTTGAAAAGGCTACAGGTGCAGTGCGCTAATATAGAGTCCAAGTTTTATGAAGAGGTTCATGAGCTAGAGAGGAAGTACTCTGTTCTGTATCAACCACTGTTTGACAAGGTAAATCCATTTTTATTGTATTGTTTTAGTTATTTTATTCAATGGCTCAGTGTATTTGTTTGCAACATAATGTATCAAGGCTCCTTTTCTGATTGGAGATCAGCGGGTGTACATTCATGCTGCTAAATTATAAACCGCCACAACGAATTGTCAACTGTAATTTGTCAGTTGGAGCTATTTCCAGTGAGTGAGTGACATTCTTATTTTCACTGAAGACTGGCAGCTGTAATCCAGCTGCACCTGTCACCACAGTGTGTCCACTTAGTGTTTCACATTGTTCACATTTCACGGTTGGATTCAAACTGAACAAAACGTCCTTGAAAATTTAAATGAGAAAATCATTCCATTCAGAGATCTCATTAACATCGATATCTTCCTCTCAGGATGTGAAGTAAAATAAGTTCTATCAATTATTACTATTTTATTTTTATTTTTTTTTGCCCAAATAATTATCCACATTTACAATCATGCACTGTATTTGACATTTTGTGAATTTTGCCTCCAGTGATTGGGTCTCATAATAATATGCATTGTTTTGCATAATTGTATTCCATGTTTCTCAAGTGCTTGTTTCTCTGGTCCTCCATCTTTAATGTTTCCCTTTGTCCTCAGAGACGAGACATTGTCACAGGCACAGTGGAGCCCACAGATGAGGAGTGCGAGTGGCAGAGTGACAAAGATGAGGACGACGAGCTGGCTGTAAATATCCCTCTGACTTTATTACAGTCTGCTGCTTCGTTCAACTAAACAGTGTCTTGTGTAAATATTCAGGAATGTGTTAAGGAAAAAGCTACTATTGAAGATGCAAAGAAAGAAGAAACCACTCCACAGGAAGAACTGAAAGGCATCCCTGAATTCTGGCTCACTATTTTTAGAAGTGTGGACATGCTCAGTGACCTGTTACAGGTCTGGAATAACCACACAATGTTGTCCAATCAATAATAACACAAATTCTGTCTTAAAAGTGTATTTTTTATTGTATCTATTCTCTCAACAGGAACATGACGAACCCATCCTAAAACATCTGAAAGATATTCAAGTGAAGTTTTCAGAGCCTGGACAGCCAATGGTCTGTAGTCCTACAGCTTTAAATGTGGTTTGATGACATGAAAATTGCTAATATTGTGTCTCTTCTTGTTTGGCAGAGTTTTACGTTAGAGTTCCACTTTGAGTCAAATGGTTACTTTAACAATACAGTTCTAACTAAAGTCTATAAGATGAAATCAGAACCTGATGAGTCCGACCCATTCTCTTTTGAGGGCCCAGAGATTATAGACTGTGAAGGGTGAGAAAACACCTTCCAACTCTGCAGCTCACACACTGAGGATAAACTGTTAACCTTCAGCTAAACTGTTATTTCTCTTTAGTTGCCAAATAGACTGGCACAAAGGGAAAGACGTGACAGTGAAGACTATTAAGAAAAAGCAGAAGCATAAAGGTCGTGGCACCGTCCGCACTGTTACCAAACAAGTTCCTAACGACTCCTTCTTCAACTTTTTTAACCCAGCAAAAGGTTTGTTAACTCTGCGCTTATTCATAAGCTTTTTTGAAAATTGCTGCTTGGGTTTTTTATTAGTATTGATTAGTTCTCCCACATTTAAAAGTAAAAAAAGAATACAAAAATCTTGCTTCTAACAGCAGGTGGCGCCAAAGAACCACATCAGGAACTCCTGTAGACTTTGTCCACAGCTCTGGATCAATCATTTCAGTCAAATTGTAGAAAAACAACGTCATCACTGTGTCATAGTTTAAGGGTCACTTCTGTCTTCATCAGAAACGACAAAGGACCCCCTCGAAAAAGAGATGAGTCATTTCAAAGAGCAATCCATAATAAATAAATTGCGGAAAATTCATAAATTCATTTGTATTTTTAATCATGATTTTTTTGCATATGTTTTTTGCTTGATTGGACATTAACTCAAAATATGACTAAACTGTTGTTGTGGTTGTACTTGTTTTGTGTTATTGTACGATGTATTTAATATTTGTACATTTTTTTTCTTTCAGCTTCACCAGATGCAGAGGTAGATGCATAATATCCCGTTTTTCACGTCTTGTGTGTTTGTTTTTGAGCCTGTAACTGATCTTTTTGTGCTTTTGCAGGATGAGGACTCAGAGTTCGCCCTCGCGTCTTTAGCCTCAGACTTCGAGCTCGGACATTTCTTCCGCGAGAGAATTGTCCCGAGAGCAGTGCTGTACTTCACCGGAGAAGCAGACGACAGCGTAAGACTTTAGCTCACCGTGATTTCCTCATGAAACTCTTTGAACATCCATCATCCTACTTTTCTTTTTCAGTTTGAAGAAGAAGAAATGGAGGAAGGAGACGAAGAGGTTTGTAAAGAAATGACATCAATTTAAGTATTTAGTGTTCTATATTCAGGATGCGCCATTTTGATCTTTCTGACCAACGTGCAAAAGCAATTAAAACATTTAAAGTGAAAAAACAACTTCAAGAGTTGCGTACGTAATTAGTCACACACAGTTCCCACTGTACAACCATTTATCATTCACTTTATATAATTGAATTAAAGGTGTAGAGAAGGGTTTTCAAAAAAATTTTAGGAAAGAACAACCCTCTCCACTTTTGAACAAAACTCTGATCTTATTTGACGAGCACGTATCGCCAAAATGATCCACAACTGGAGGACCAATAGTCTTGATGATCCACCTGGAAGTAGAAAAATGTACCTTTTTTAAGTAGTTCTTTTCTCACTACAGGTTTTTAGTTGTGAGACACATTTTGATATTTTTAATTTTTCTTATTTAGATGAAATATTAGATGTCTAGGTTGGAATAAGAATCAATTTTATCCTCTTTCGTACCTTTTTCCGCTTGAATTGTTGCAGCCCTCTTCCATGCGCTTAAATCAAGTTTCCACGTCGGGTTTCTAAGTTGTGGCTTTTGTTTGTCAGGAGCAGGATGACGAGGGTGACGAAGAGGAGGACGACGATGATGGAGACTTTGACCCTAAGGTGAGTGTGCTCTTTGACCCCCGCTGTTTTTAGAGCTGGCCTCAGACACGGATCGGTCCAAACCGTGGGAACGAGATCTCTTTCCTACAGCCCTCTCAAGTCTTTAAAATGCACAGCCAATAGACAATCTGTTTTTAGTTTCCAGAATGTACGTTAACAAATATTTATGTAGCTTTTGTAAATGATTTCACCCACATGACGAGGAAAATTGATTTTGCCTGTGTAACTTAACATAAAAACCAAAAAATGTAATGTTTCATCTTGTTGTCCCCCCCCCCCCCCCCCCGCCCCCTCTCCTGGGTTCCCTTCCATTTCAGGCATAGTCATTTTCACCTCATGCATTTGTAGGTAAGGGTGAAATATGTTTCTAGCGTGCCCTGCTAAATCTTCTTCAATTTGGGATTAGGTATCTTCATCATTCTCTCCTTCTATAGTCTGGGATTTGGGACCTTGCACTTTAGATTCCTGCTGTTATTGTTCTCTTCTCTAACAACAATCCCATTTGATTTAGTCTTTTCTGAAACTTGTACTCTTTGCCTGCCCTTTCCTTTTTCAAATGCCTTCTTGTTTTCTTGCGTACAGTTTAAATGGCTGCATGAACGTCTCGGCTGCTAACATGTCGTCCTGTGATTTTCCCCCACACAGAAAGAGCAGCCTCCACCCGCCGAATGCAAGCAGCAGTAACCAGATCAAGGGATGCAGTGAAATTAGTCCTCCTTCAACCCCTCACAGTGAACTCCTCCTCTGAACAGGCCCCGGTTTTAAAACACGGAAGAATGTAATACTGCGCGTGTGACTTTTTGTCCTGCGTCATCGCCCCCCATCGTTACCATTCGTTTGGCTTCGGCACCGTTTAGGTCCAAAGACGCCAAAAAGTCTCAAATATCCCTAAACCGAATCCAGAGAAGTTGTGTATCATAATTAAAGATTTCCCGTTCAGTTTTCAAAGATAGATTTAGTTACTCAGGGTTGTATTGCAGACACGTTGGTTTATCAGGAGACTGCTCAAGTGTTTAACTGGGTTGTAACTTTTTTTTCGTGTGTGTGTATCATTAATTCTTTTGTTGGTAAAGCATACGGCTCTTCTGTTTTTCTGTTGTGCGGTCACGGGGCAAATGCATTGTGTCATGCAGCGGTGAGAATCAGTGCATTTTTTTTTTTAGATCTGCACTTACAGTACGCTCAATATTGGCCCAGATTTACTCGGGCAAAGCATATGAACAAAATAAAAATGCAAAATCTGCCAACTCTTCATCTTAGAACTACTACTCCTGCTCAGTCCAGTCTGTTCAGACCTGGCTAACTAGCAATAGCTCTCTGGGAACAGAAACTTTAAATGCTATTCGGAGATATGCTAGAAGTTTTAAGTGTATGTCCTGACTTTTGGTTGTACTAAACAAGTGTGACCATTTTTTTTTTTTTTGCCAAACGATGTAAGAATGCCATTATGACATTTTATCTCAATATACTCAAGTATGCTATTTAAAGTAATGAGAAAAGGTCAGAAATCGCTCAAATTTGGAAAAATATCTTAATTTAAGCACATTCTGACTTCCTTAAAACAAGATGTGCCAATGGGAAAAAGCAAAATGGACTTGTTTTAAAAAGGCTTGTTTTTAAGGAAGTCAAAATATGCTCAGATTAAGATAAAACCACCTGATATAAGCAATTATTACCTCATACTTTATCATTTTTGTGCAGTGTAGTTAGTCGTAATGGGAAGGGTTTGTGTAATCGTTAACCGCCCAGTATTATATTCTGTTGCCTGTTGTTGGTGGAACAATGAGACACAAATGTCCTAATCACCAAAATATATTTTTTAATAGTTTGCCAATTCATCTGCGAAAAGGTTTTTGCATAAGTAATACTCTTCGACGTTTTCGAAAGCTAAAATCCTTGTTCTTTTTGTTTTGTGTGATTCAGTGGAATGTCAATAGGAACGTGAGAGATTGCCAATGTATTTTGTACCGCACTTTTGCCTGTTTATTGATTAAATTAACAGCAGCTTATGGCCACAGTTTTTTAATGCAAATATGGATTGTATATCTTTGTTCGAACCCTCCCAGCCGTGGCTAAAACGGAGCCGTGTGCTAACAATGGCCTTAAATGGTTCTTATTCTCAATTTGTTACTTGCGCAATATTTCGTTCCAATTTTTACAGAGTATTCTATTAAAGTACATTGTGAAACATGGAAGATATTTGTGTGTGTGTGATTTTATTATGTTGCTCAACTTGTATCTGTATCTGTGCCCAAAAACGAGGAAAAAGTCCCATTGAAAATATTTAAAAGTTTCGCTGCATTGTTTAAGTGATTGTGGTTTAAAAATAGTTTTTCCCTGATCTGCAACATTTTTCGAGTGCCTGCTGAAAGATGGTAGTCGGCCCAGAAGAATGAAACTATGCTTTAACCGCTGTGCTGTCCTTGGGTCAAACACCACGATGATTAGAAAATATCCTAAATAATTTGTTTTTTCAAGGTGAATTTTGATGTCCTCTTATAACTTGACCATTCCTGGATCATTTAGACCCTAATTTAGGTTATTTTCTTCTACTTTTAATCACTTGGGTGTGTAATTTTGACCTGAGTATTGCACAAGTTTTAAACGCTATAAACTCATGTTAATTTTTTTTTTTTTTTTGGAAGAACATGCCTTTGTAACCAGTTGGGTTGGAGCTTTTATATAATCCAGCTAATTATTAGGTCATCATTAAGGCAAGGCAAGCTTATTTTGTAAAGCGGTTCATACACAGGGCTGCTCCAAAGTACTTAGCAAAAAGAAAAGAAAATAATTCAAATAAAACAAGATACATATTTAATGATTTATATACTTACAGTTGATACAATGAGATCCAAAGTATTTCTCCAACTTGTACTGGGGAATTGACCCTAGCTTCTCCCAACGGCCTTATCACAATTTTATTAGTTTAAACTTTTTATTATTACCACAAACTCAAAAATGCTTTGAAATCCAACTCATTTCTCAATCTCAAGTTATGCATGTAAATACAGAGAGTGAAATTAGCCTCACAATGGACCATTCATTTGACTTGTGGTTGAATAAACTTTTCTGAAGCGTTCAGAAGGGCTCCTCTGTGTCCCCGGAGCTGCAGCTGCACCCACGCTTGGCCCAAAGGTGCTCTGGTTTTTGTGTGTAGGAACAAGTTGGTGTTTTGTTGCATCTCGTCCCGGTCGGAAGTGACTTCAGGCCAGGAATAGAGGTGCTTTATCCGGCTGAGGATGAGCTGGTGTCCACAGATAAGTGAGTTGAAGAGTGTGTTTCTGCCGCTGGTCACTAATAAGTGGTTTTCTGAGATTCATTACTTTGGCAATAAATACATATAATAATAAAATATGCACTGTGTATAATTGTCAGTCTTGTCTTGACATGAATCACAGCAGATCTGACTTTAATGCATATTATTGGCTTAGGTTAAGAGCAGATCTGTAGAGAACTGGATACATATTTTAATACAAGTCAATATCTACTTGAAATTAGTATTTGTCTGCCAATGGGATTACCACAATATGACTTGTTTAAAAAAAAATTAAGTAATTTTTTCATGTGTTTTATGACTTAATTTAATTTTAGGAATAAATTACTTGTTTATTGTGCAAAAAAATCTCAAACAAGCCTGAAATAAGACATTACTCGATCTATTTTACCAGTTACTCGAAAATGCTTTTTTTCATCTGCAGAAGTAACTACTCATGCACGATCATTATCTTATTTCTAATTCATGTTGCATGTGATTACTGCTGCGTGCCTTATAGTAAAAGATAATCAATAGTTCCTGTAAAGTTATTTTTAGTCTTGGACTGGCTCCGGGAACGACAAAATCTCCAGAGACAACAGGCGGCTAACTCCCTCTCCAATGTAGTGTACATTTTATGTATGAAACTCTATTCAAACTCTACCACATTAGACAATAGAAGGCAATTACATTGTCATTCTTTCTAACGACTCTTTGAAGGTATAGAGGACAATTTTCTACTTCCGGGTGGATCATGGCCAGGGGTTTCCAACCTGTTTCTGTTTAATAAAAGTAGCTCTCCAATCAATAAAAGTTGGAGACCCTGGCAATGGGTCCTCCTTATTGTCAATCATTCTGGTGATACCTACTCGTCAAACAAGTGGAGAGGGCGATTCTTTTCTAAAATTTGGGAAAATCCTCCTATATTCCTTTAATACAACAAAAACATTGTACATCTGAACCAGGCTTGTGTGAATGATGCAAAATAGTAAAATAAAACTGACCCTGACTGATCGGAGAAAAGCCCAAACGGAGCCTGTGTCAGGAGTGGGAATGGGCATTATCAGGCCAAACATTTGGCTCCAGTCTGTCCAATTTAATGACGATGTTTTGAACGTGTGGGCGTCAAACATCCTGACTCACGGACACAGCAAATGCACTCAACTGTCACAACTTTCCAAGGACGCCTTCTGAGACCAAGCAAAAAGCCACAAGAACTGCAGAATGGGAGAGGTTCATTCAATGTCCCATTTAAAGTGTTATTATTGCTGTGTTTTTAGATTTGATAAGACATAAACCAGAGAAAAACTTTGATTTGACTAGATTCAGGCTGTTTATCTCTTTTTAAATGAAACATAACATGTCCATATGGATTCACGTTTGCCAGAGCGGAAGTTGGCTGAATGACAAATGTTTACTATCTCACATTAGCGCCATGCACGGTATTTTGTGACACAATCATAAAAAAATGTCAGTATGTACAAATAAAATCAACGGCAGGATTCCAGAGCTTTCTACTGAGGTTTAGCATACATGTCTAGAGCTGAAGTTAGCTGGATGACACTTTAAAAATGTAGTCAATGTCTCTTCAGGTTATGAAACTTAAAACCAACATTGAGGCAAACGCTTTAGCATCTTGATATAAAGTAAGAAGGGAAAATTTTATAACTACTAAAATACAAGGAAATCTCTAACTTTAGCATAATAAATAAGCAAGAATTAAGTATAAAATCTCTGACTTTAGCATAATAAAGGAAAACATTCCCAACGAGTCCAATAAAGTAAACCTTAATCTTACCCTTCTTTCTAAAGCCCTGGAGAAAAGTGGGTCATAAAAACATGTGCTTCTCTGAGTTGGCGGGCATCTCGGCAAACATGACTCGTACTGGGCTTGGATCCTGAGCGTCCATGGAAATGTTCTTTTGACTCTATACTTTTATGGAAAGAACATATGACATATATTCACAGTTGGGCTTGAAAGTGTAACCACCCAGAGATGTAGTTGTTTTGGAGATTATGATTGAGAGCACAAACACTTTTCCCCAGTCGTCCTGAGTGGTTGTGTGAAGCATACAACAATAATAATAATGTATCCGTTTTTGACAGTGCTGTTTTGTGCACTCAAAGAAACTTCACATATTCATTCACTCCGTACACGGTGGTTAGAAACTAGTACTGTAGCCACAACTGCCATGAGACACACTAACCGAAGCAAGGCAACCGGTATGTGTCACCTGCCCCTCCCACCACCAACAGCAATTCACGCATATGGAATCAGACTCATTCTAGGCAATGTGGGTGAAGTGTCTTGCGTAAGGAAACGACAACAGAATGCTACTTCAGAGCCGCAGCCGCCCCACTGTGGCGCCTGGTCTCCCATCACAGTGTTAACCAAGCTCTGCCCTGCATAGCTTCAGATGTTGATACATGA